CGATTATTGGATAATGAAAAAATTAACGGTACTCTTACATTTTTATATGAGAATTGAAGTCGGTTTTGTTTTTTACTTAAAAACAACTAGTTCAAATTTCTCTTTGAAATCATGAGATCAAACCTACTTGAGTCGCATTAATTATAAAAATTACAATAGCAATATTTAGAATTACTTTCCAATTATAATGATTATCATGAAAAACATTGCCATTTTAAATAATTAGAACATTTTTTTCTTAATGGTTTTATTTTCAACCATTAGGATTTTTAATTTTATGAATATTTTTTCTGATAGTATAATTCTATACTTAAAGCTTGATTTTTTGGCTAAAGGTTGTGCAGATTTTGCTCGAGTTATCGTGTACACGAACCGACGGACGGACGGTAGACGAACATGGCTTAATCAACTTCTCTTTTAATTCTGAGCATTTACTTATGTTTGCATTTGTCTATATCTATATATCTCGATTGGTTTTGGCTGTTACAAACAACCGTTATGTGAAACAAATTATAATACCCTTATGAACAAGTGCACTTTTACAAATCTTTTGGTATTTATTCATATTTCGGCACCCCTAAATAAATGAAATTCGTCTCATTACAACCGCTCTCACCATTTTTTGAGTTTTTCACTTCAAATAAATATCTTAGCAGAAGTTTCGATACAAGTTTCCACCAGGCCAAATGGTTTGGGGAGTAAACTAAATTGGCCTTCATTAACGAAAATTCAGACACCTCTGTATGCACGAATATTATTTAGGACCTTTTGGAGCCCTCGTTTTCCTGTTTGTATGGAACACTTTTAGTATAGAATATCGAGGTCCTTTCTCCATTCAGATTCAGTATTCTTGGTAAGGTTGTCTTTGACTTATGGCATGGCGCAGAGTTATCTTGAAAAGAATGGGATCCAAATCCAAAGGAAACCAAGCATCTAACGAGGGTTCCAAATAGTCCTTTATTCAGAATGAATGTCAATTCACCAACACCAAAGTAGGGAATTCTACCCGCAATCATTACTCACGCAAACGTTTTTTGTACTTTCTCATATGATGCAAATAACTTTTGTTAACTTTTAAATCCCTTTACGCATTTTAATCTGTCAAATTGCATTTCTTTCAATAAAATTATGCGTTTGCATATGTACCAAAAAAAAATTTTTGCAATTGGGTGTAAATTAAATCAACAAAAATGTGTATATAAACATTTTTTTTATTAAAAGCGTACAATTACACTAAAATTATAATACGTAAGTGCACAAATACGAGTATGTGAGTATTTGTGTACATATATGAACACATCCCACGAGTTGTTTTATTTTTAGTGTCCCTCCTTTCTCTCGGCAGAAAAATCATAATTGTTTTTAATATTTTTATTGGGCTTTGTACCACGATTACTTTATTAGGAAAAATTGAAAAAGCAACAAAGTCTAAGCGGTAGAGGTTATAGCACTAACAAGTAAGAAAGTCTAAGTCGGGCGGAGCCGAAAATTAAATACCCGGCGCAAATATTAAAAATATGTTTTTCACCTTTTCTGTACCTCTATTTTCGAACAAAAACACATTTTCGTCGAAAAATGTAACAACTCGTGAGTTTTGCTCATGTACAATAAGATGGTTCGCGAAGAAATTGGTAAGCCGTTTTAAGTTTTCTATTTGTAAACCGAATTCAAAGAGAGACAGCTATATAAAGCGTTTGTCATTAATAATCCTTTTGCGCTTCGATGGGCTGTTAACTGTAATGAAATGATTATTCGAATCGTTACAATGTCATTAACCGAAACCATACTGTCTACCTATGGCTATTACCAATTGCCATGCGAAGCGATATTGTCATTGTTCATGCTTCTGCGCCATATACCAGCACGGGCATGATGCTTGACTTATTGAGTGTGATTTTTGTACTACAACAGAGGACTCAGTCCCAAGTAACACTTGTTGGCAAGAGTGATTCGGGTCTTTTTCAAGAATTGGCGTCTTGCGAATATCTGATTAATGGTGCATTTTCCAGGTCTAATATCAACTGATTGTGGATTGCGCATGCGCTCATCTGACCATATTCTGTATAAGAGCTGATGCATGCTCCTTATCAGCTCAGTACTGGAACGTCTGGACGTCGGTTGCCACATTGTCATTATTTTGTTGCAAGCCCTTTTGTTTGAAACCTTCGTAAGTCGCCTAACTGTTTGGTAAAATTTAACACCTATTTCCTGTCGGCCAGCATTTCAAGCTCTTCGCACTCACGTATTTCGGCCTCTCTCTTCCTATAGCGGCAAATACGTCTCGCCTCCCCTTCTCAGTTCCCTATAATGGCCCCACGCAGTGCACTTTGCGCCCGATCGCAGCGTGGCTCTGTAGGCGGCATATTTTTTCACTGCAGTTTCTTGCTCCTCTTCATCATACCAATTGCTCTTTCGGGCTCGCCGAAAACCGACTACTTATTCGGCGACAGTACGCAATGAGAAGGAATTATGGTTCCACTGCTCACATATGTCGGTTTGTTGAAGAGTTCTTTCTGAGAGCAGGTGTGAGAGTCGAGTAGTGAATGCATTGGCCATCTGTCATGATCGCAGCTTTTCGGCGTTGTTCTCCTTGCATTGTTGGGCACACAGATCCGAGTCTTGGCTGGAAAAGAGAAACTGGTCTAAGTCGATGTTTTGGTTTCTCGCATCTCGATCTGGATGCAGCCATGTAGCTTGATTGATCTTTTTATACCGCATGCTACCATGTTTCGGGCCCAACGATGTTGATCAACTTCGAACGTGGAGGCTGAATTATGCGACAAGCGCACAGAGAAGAGGTCCTTCTCTTCGGGCATAGATGAGCGAGATGTTGAAGAATCTCACTTTGATGCGGATGCGAGGCTTTGTTGTTATTTTTCATTGGAGCTTGTTTTTGCGAGGTGGGCCCCGTTGCTGGGCATGGCGGTGGTTTCCTAACTAAATACACGTTTATACATATAGCGAGCCGCTTGCCCCAGACAGACGCTCCTTTGCAGCCGTACCTACTGGTGAACAGGCGATGCTGACTTCAGTGAGCCCTTAAATCGAATAAGTCGTAGTGGCCTCACAGAAGCTCCTTCTCTTTCTGCTCCACTCGGGCTGGGTACCGCATCTCGCAAATGGGTTGCTCACGTTGCCCAGAGTTCGCAAACGAGGATGCAAGTGTCGACATTGGGTATAGTCGTGAAACTGCAGCTGCATACCCAGCACAACGACTATACCCCATTGCACTCCATGACTAAGTTGGATATTAAAAAAGAAAAACAACAAATTTACTTCCACATCACACACATAGACATGTATATTATAATTTCAACAACTAAGCAATTTATAAAAATCTTTGCCATACATATGAATGTAGTATAGGAAATCCTAGAAAAATTTAATCCAATCGAGGAAATGAAACTTTACTTTTTTATTTCCACATAGTCCATTTATTACTTATATATGTATGTATATACATAGTTAGGTTTTCTAGCCACTATTTGCATGATTTTCGTCACACTGTAAATATAACTATGTTTTAACTAACTCACATATTCACTGCTAAGCAACACGTTTTTTGCTAAGTATGTACTTATTAATTGGAAGCAATCAATGCCAGCTTTAATATTCACGTATAGTTGTATACATAAATATTATCTTAATAAATAAACATTCCGCTTAAATTTTACATATTCATTTAATACTTATCATTGAAACTTTCCATTACAGCTCAAACTTTTACTGAACTTATGGAAAGCTGATTTTTAAGTACACATTTACTTATACGTATATAGTGTTTTTTATAATAAATACTCAAGGTTCTTCATTAGAGCTTTGGTCTAATACTTTGTGTGGTCAAAAATCAACTGAACAATACTTTCAAACATTTTTGTAGCTAAAAATTACAAACATAAAACATATAAATTGGTTTGAGATTTACTAAATTTCAACATATTGTACTCGCGTGACTAAGAATATAATCATTCTTTATGAGTATCTAATACTTTGTGTGGTTAAAAATCAATTTAACAGTACTTTCTAATATTTAGCTAAAAATTTAAAAAAAAAATAAATAAATAAATCGCTTTGAGATTTACTAAATTTCAACATTTTGTACTCGCGTGACTAAGAATATAACAATTTTTTGTGAGTATAATATACAATTGAATAAAATTATTTTGAAATAAATATGTATGTACATAATATGTATGTTAAAATTTTAGCACACTTTCCTTTATTATGCGAGTATAAAAATTTATTTGCATTTTGTCGATTTTATGTAGACTTTTATGTGCGCACAATGAGCAACGATTTCTTTAGGTTTTTCCAAATATTTTCTACTTATTTTCCTAATGTATAGGGATGTTTGTACGTACACATACAATACATTATACATTCCGGGTGAACATTTTCGTATATGTATATTTATGTATATCTCTGTATTCTTTTATTGTTTCGTTTTTGTCCTTGTGAATATATATATATTTTTTTTTTGTTCTCTGCTTTTTTCATACTCTTACAACAAAGGATATGTTTTGCATGCTTTGAATGCATGTATGTATGTGAAAATATATACAAGTATTTATGTGCATACATATGTAGTATATAATTTTTATTATACCCTACAGGAGAAAAATTGTTGAAGAAATGGATATGTATGTTTGAAGAATGTTCAGAATAAGTTAAAAAAATGGTTAAACAGGTAATTAGGCAAGGTGAGCTTTTAAGTTTAAAATATGCGATTTGAAGATGACTCATCTTTGTCGTTTGATTGTTACAAGAGCAAGTTTAGCCTTCCGGAAAGACGAGGCTGACTAAAACTACAAAAATGGGGGATTCTTTACTAACACATTCTTAAAAGTTTTTGTCAAATCATAAGAGTGAGAGGGATAGGAAATCACACACATTGATAAAAGTAACAGATGATGGTCATTTTTTGCCTGTGGTCCTAATAAAAATTACTACATCGATCTACTAACGAATAACGGCTCATTCTGTCAGAAGTGTCGGTCTTAAATCCCATCAATTGTCTGGTACAGTTCTTGCTGCGTTTCTTCTCGGAAGTATTAAACCGAAAACATTTTCTTATTTCGTAAATAGACCAGATGAGAACTGTTGTAGGATTTTAGAAATCACCACGCTTTTCTATTGCTAGAAATCTCTAAATGAATAAGGCTTGATGTCTTTCAACAACTCTGTTAGATGTGCTGGAATATGAGACGACCGTTGTATACGCGTCCTAATTCTTTGATAGTCTGTGGTCGTAGTTGACAATGGTGACAGAGGTTGCCAAACATTTTTTTCTCGCAGACCACTTTCAAAATTTTACTGGTTTCAGTGGACCCCCTGCTGCTACATTTCTTTAATATCCTCAAAACTCATCACAAATTCTGCGGAATGGATCTAGAGGTGGAAATTTGCGTCTCGCTGAGTTCCAAGTTGCAACTCTAAAAAAAAATGTATTTTATTTGCTTCAGTTTTAATTGATTTACTTTTAAACACACAAAAACAACAAACCCGGTTTTTACGCCAAGCTTTCAATTCAGAAACCGGTAAAAGAGTAAAGAATAAATCAATAAAAATCTCTGAGAACCAACCAAGGAAGCGGCGCATCAAATTTAGGGCATAAATAAACGGATTGCTTAATAAGCGCTCTTGCGCTCAACGCTTAAAACAACTGAGCGACGAAAGCTAGATGAACAGAAGAGACAGAACGCTCTTTTATGAGGAGTAATATTTTGAGTGGCGAAAAGAGAACAAATCAAAATTGATTGCTCTTGAAATGAGTTATAGTGAGGAGGAAGATGGGAATTTTATTCCTTGGTGAATATTTTTGAAATGAAACTTCTTAGGCGACGGTATCGCAAAAATAGAGAGTGAAATTTTTAAAACTGAAAATTTTACATTAGTAAGAAGGAAGATGTAGTAGAGTGAAGAGGAAAAAAGAAAGAAAGCGACGTAAGACGTCTATAAAAAGCGATAGCACATAGCTAGAAGAGGGCACTCGTAGAACAACCAAGCAACTACGGCTACAAATAGCGAAGAAAACGACGAAATAGTTTCTCAACCTTTCAAGAAAGGACATTGCAGTAGTCATGGATTATGTAACCAGCTATCTGGTAGACCCTCTTCGAGAGTAGGAACATTTTCCCATGAATATTACAGATGTTGCAGAGATGAGGGAGAGGAAGAACCAGTCGAGCACTTCTTCTGCAGCTGCCCAACTTTGGTGAAGAGCAGAGCACGCTTTTTAGTTAGGCACTTCTTTGGTTCTCTTAGAGAATTAGCCGATGTAGGAATAAAATCAGCCCTACGCTTTAGAAGAGCATCAAAATAGTTCTATGAAAAATAGTCACTGAGGTTCCGTGCTTCGCAGCGGTATCGCAATAGACCTGCAAAGTCTAAGTGAGTTTGTTATCTGACTGCCACACCAACCTAACCAACCTAACCTATACATATATTTACATTGTTTCTGAATAAATAATATTCTGGAGGGAGCAATACATAAAATATACCCCATTTTTTAATGTTGCAACCCAATGTACACAGGTCCCGTGTGTACTGTTAAGAAAGAAGGCAGCTGTTCAATATGTTTGAAACTTATTTTCCGTATTTTTTCATATGTAGGGTATAACTTGTATCAACGAAGCTTTAAATACGCTCAGAACTCTATGTATTATATTTAATCATAGCACATAAATGTTCTATCATTTTTCCACATTTCTTTTTCTGAATGTATGTAAGTATGTATGTATATGTATGCTAGTATTCATGCAGGTATTTTATTAGCTTATATCTTTCAAGGCTTTGTCAATTCTGTGGGATTGTCGCGATATTTTGTAGCTTATAAACTGCTGTCTGTTATTCTCGAAAAACTTACTACGATACAGTACCCAAATCCTCGAATTTACTTAAACTATGATTAGTTATGCTCACAAATACATAGATACACATGTATATAACCACAGTATAGTATCTACATACATATTTTTAGCTCTTAGTATTAACTCTAAGTATTACCAAGTATGTATGTACGAGTATTTTCTAAGTTGTGTCTTTACTCAATTAAATTATAATTTCTTATAAGCTAAGCAGTAGTATGTACATTACATGTAATAACATATTTTTGTTTATTTATCTAATTATTTCTAATAACAAACCACATACATCCTACTTACACATATGTATATGTACACATACTTAGACATAATATATTTATTATTGTTTACTTTCGAGCTCCTTTGGTTGCTTTTTTTGTTTGGCTGAGTTGATTGGGTTGCTGGATTTTATTCCTCGCACGTACAGGATCATTCTTGAATTTTGTATGAATTTTTACTACATTTCTTGCTTATCACCACTGGCTTACATTCTTTCAATATTAACTAATACTCATCCGTGTGTCCTGCTTTCAATTTTGGTAAAGCGTTTGCAGCTGATTCGATGACGACGTGGCATATTGCCGCGTGCGTATAATGTTCATATGTATTTCGGAGGAGGCGGTCGAATTGATGTATGGCGGTAAGTCAGCGCCCGCACTGACACGACAATTTATGAGGTCGTATGGACAGCAGGACTGCAAAAAAAAAAAAATAACAACAACCATGAAATATTAAAGCGGTAAGTGACATATATTGGTGCGGACTAAGGGTGTTGTACAAGCAAACACATACGCATAAATTTCGAAACTCACATACATATTGATATCCCGGCAGTAGAAGTCCCAACTTTTGGGTGAATATATTGAGTAAACTAGCGTTTTTTTTTTCAATTAGTTATGGTGATTTCGTTTTTTTCCAAAAAAACACAAAATTTTCTCACCCTTTGTCTTTAATTTAGAATCGCACACGAAAAGAGAAAGAGGCAATCAAAAGACAAAACTTTTTGGTAAAACTGAAACCACCATTAATTGGAATTATAACGTAAAGAATGTTACCCAAACTGGCACAAAAACTATAAACTTGCGCACCGAAAGGAAGTAGTATTTTATTTTTATTTCTCTTAATTGTTATGTTCACCTTCAGGGATATCATAGCTGAATATATATATAAGGTGTGTCATTTTATAAGGCAAAACATAAAATGAAAACGTTTTCCAGACTTTGTTTACGCCTCAAGTCTCAGTGATTTTAAAAATATATGCAACGGATTTATAGAATTTGTCCCAACAAGTGTTATAAAAACAAGTAAGTGCGCCTGGGCCATACTGGAGAAGTGAAACTTACATACGTTACATATCTATTTTGTCTCATAACCAATATAAATACATATGTACATACAACTGTTTTCCTTAGGTTTATATTTTTTGTATTTTTTCTATCTAGATCCCTACCTCTGCCCTTGTTCGTTCTAATTACAATTATGTTATTCTGTTTTCCTTTATCTTCATTTTTATCTTTATACTCTATCGATAACATAATAAATAGTAATATCCAACATAATAGCGATAACAAAACCGATAAAAATATCGATAACTAAATCGATGACTAATTCGACTCAAATTCCGTTAGCAAAACCGATAATAACATTGGTAGCAAGATCGATTAAAAAATTGATAAAAAAAATCGATAAGAGTATCGATAACAAAAACCTATAAAAATATCGATAACAAAATCGATGAAAATATTAATAACAAAATCGATAAACAATCGATAAGAAAATTGACAAATTATCGATAACAAATAAAATCTATAGTAAAATCGATAAATAATCGACAACATAATCGTTAAATCTATCGATTATTACATCGATAAGTTCCGAAAATATCGATAGCGAAATCAGTAACAATATCGATACAAATGTGGATAACAAAATGGAAAAAATATCGATTGCCAAACCGATAAAAAATATCGACTATTATATCGATATGTCCTGAGAATCCCGAAAATCGCTAAAATCACAAAATAGTTCTCAGATTTAGTCTCTGTGTCTTTATCTATATCTTCAGGGTTAACAATAAAAGCTCTCCTTACGAAAAAATCGCTTAAAGCAAAAAAAGTGTGTACCATATATTAGACGCTGAATATAATTATTTATGTTCATAATACCTTAAGCGAATCTTTAAATGTCGTATTTTTTTGCACCTAGTAAACCGGTTTAAAATCTGACCATTTTTGACTAACCTATGCAGCTTGCAATTTAATTTGATATCTAACTCAATTCTGTACTGCTACAGATGGCCCTAACTTCCTTGTATGACTGAGCAACTATATATATGTAAATAAATGGTTTTCCTCGTAAGTTTGATCTGCGCGTGGTTACATGGCGTATGAGTAACATTATTTCCTGTTCATATTTCATTTTCACATTTCAGCAAAAAAAAACGAATCATAGAATTTAGCAATCGATAACGGAAAATTGATGAGTATCAGCGCAGTATTTAGATAATTTCACTCTCTGTACAAAACGATACTCCTTCCATATTGATCCGATGTACGAGAAACAAACCATCAGTGACACTAACAGCGATGCGCTAATTGCAATTAGTATTTAAATCATTAAAAACATTTGTTGTCAAACTGAATCAGTCTTTATTTGAATCAGTAGAACTTTCCGAGCAAGACGGTATGTGTTTTTAAGAGGACTTAACGAGGAAATGTTCATTGTAAGTACTTCTGTTTAGGCGGTTTAAGAATTTAGGCATTTTTGAAATTTCGGGCTCAATTAATATTCCTCATCCCAAGTAGACTTAATTTTTTAAATATTGGTTCAAACTATATTCTCCAATAGTTATTTAACATTGAAAGATTAAAAAAAAAAAACGATTCAAGTTATGTAACCTTGAACATCACTGAGACTTGGGTAATGCGCATTGTACCATCAAATATTTTAAACAATGAAACACCCTTATATACAATAAATATAGGTATATATATATTATACTAAGGCCAAATTTCAGATGAAATATTTAAGTAGAGATTGTTGATTAACTTCAACAATTCATTTTCAGATTACATTTAATCTGCACTTAAACGGCCAATATTGGATATTTAAATATGAGATATGCAACCCTGTGTTTGTACCAAACAACCAAGGTAAGTGGTTTTATCAAAATTGCCAAACAACGTTCAGCTCTTCAGCACAAAATGTAAGTAAACAAGCAAATGCAACAACAATTTCAAGGAACAAGCAACATTGTTGCCACTTGTTTGGCATATTTCAATAAAGTTGATTTGAAACCCAATGAAAGTTAAATGGCATTTAAATAGCAATTCAAAATTTAACTTAGATTCCGTTTAAATGTTCTTCTGAAATTGGCCATAAGTCAGTCTAAATAAATATACATATGCATACACACATCTATGAGTACACATAGTACACACAGCTTGTTGGCTGGAAGAATGTCGGAAACGACAGAAAAAACCCATTTCAAGGGTCAGTTTTTTAGTACTGGTTTAAACTCAGTTTTAACTACTGACCAGTTCTTCGGTGCGAGTTTAAAACTGCTTCATAGTTTAGTTGTTTTGAAGAGCAACACTGTTTTTTTCTTTATGCAGATACAAAACTTCAACCATTTATCTTTACTTTTGATACCATCGCGCTTAAAGTTCTGAAAGTTTACAGTGTTGCTCGACCAAATTGCCCTATGCAAGAAAACTCCAACTCAAGTGGCGTTTGTTAATTTTCTTGAGCACAATTTTCATCTAACTACACTGGCGGCAGAAATAATAGACTCGTCGTACTTTGAAGAGTATTGGCTATATTTCCTTAGTTTATTTTATGTTTAATATTTTGTTATAAAAGACCAGGTAGTTATACGGCAAACATCATATAAATCCGCCTTTTTAACTTTGAACAAAAAATTATAAAAACTCGACAAATTTTCACCAAATTTTCAAACTTTCTTTCTGCCGCCACTGTATGTATGTGCCGCTATACAAATGCATCTGTTTTCAGATTTGGCGTTTAAACTTAGTTTAAACCACGCTTAAATTTGACTGAAAAACTGCACACTGAGTTTAAACGACAAACAGAGTTAAAGTCGCACTGAAAACCCGGCCCTAAGTAGTAGTAAAAACTTCCAAAAAAATATTTGCCGATTGTGTCTCATAAAAAGAGTTTTTGTTAACTACTACTACTTTTTTGTTAGATAACTATATCATTGATGGAAAATAATAACTCTCTGATCTAAGTTAGAAATAAAATTAAGATTTAGCGGTGGCTTATATTTAAGATTAAATTTAGTATATCTTCTTAGTTGTCATTCCTATTTGATCCGTGAAAAATAACTGACTAAAACCATTGCATCAATTTTTCCAGATTTTCTTTTTACTTAGGATATTCTTTCAGCTAACAAGCGAATATGTATTTCAAACAATAAACGCACATATAAAACATATAAAAAATCAATAAAGGGAAAAAAATAAAATACATAAAATCGCTTTGGATTATCTTTTAAATATAAGCATTGTGCACAAAATCGAAAGAATCACAATATTTGATTTCAAACCACTTGAATTCAAGATGCATTCATGCATTAATATCTACTTATGTAGCTATATGTTTGCATATAGAATTTTGTTATGCTTGCTAGTGCGTTATGTAATTTGATCTGCATGTATGTAAATACGTGTGTGGGCATGTCGCTGTTATAGCAAATGTGTCTGAAACACAAAATTAATAAATAACACAGAGAAAGAAGCTCAGCATCATACGCATTAAGCAGAGTATAAAAGGAGTGAAGTGGTGAAAGCTACGGTTAAGGAAAAATCATGAGTAAATAGTATTGGAAAGTATTAGTTTTATATATACATATTTGGAAGTAAAGAAGTTTTAAATTGTTTGCATACCCATCCAGCCGGTAGGTTTAGTTAGTTAAGTTGTTGTGTTTGGCATTTGGATGGTGTAAGACAACGTTTTAGAAGTGTAAATGCCATCTGCGAGTTAGAAAATTTTGATAAGTTTAGATTTCCATAAAATTGTTTTAAGTAAATATACATAGATGCATTTTCTTTGTAGCTTATATTACAACAACAAGTCATGTTTGAGAAAAAACACAACAATCGACTTCAATTCACAATATAGAAATTTGGGAGTAATTCCATCATGATTCAATGATCGGAACTAAACCAAATAAATAGGGGACCACAGCCAAAAACGCTTCCCACGGTCCAAAGTTAACCGCGAACATATGTATATACACATATGTACATAAGAAAAAAACATTATTCCGACGAACTGATACCCTCCCCCTTTTTAAAGTCGGTTAAAAATATATAGATTTCGATTTTCGAACTTCAATTCGTGAGCAAAAAGTTCTAATTGAGGTAAATGAAAAAAAAGGATTCGAGTACCCGCTAACAAAGCACATAGCCTATTCTTAGATCTTTGTGCCTAAAGTTGCCGGTTCCTAAAAATAGTATTTAATACTTAGTGCTCCTTGAAGTCTACTAGCTAAATCCTATATATGCCAACCGTGATCAAAGATCAACAACTTTTTAGAATCAGCAAACGAATTCCAACATTCGCTATCGGAAATTTTGACTGCCAAAATCTAAAAAAAAGATTAATAGCCCTCTAACTGCCAGATTTAGCTGATTACACATTTCATTTGTTACTTTCCCATGTAGTATACTTT